ATGACGACGTCGGAATCGAGGTAAATGACTCGATCCACATACGGGTCAAGTATATCGCCCAAATAGTTCCGGGCGTAATTCAACGGGTTCTCGAGTGCGACCCGGATCGAGGACGAAATCAGATTTATGACTGTGTCTTCACGGAAGATATAGACCTTGAAGTTAAGCGATGGGAAGGTAGATCTGACGAGCCGAGTCAAGTCCCGTGGATTTGCCGGGTCGAACTCGGCGGCGATAAAATGGAAAAACACGTTTTCCGGGCATGAAGCGTGGCGAAGGATGGAGTGTACGGCGGCTATTGAGCCACGTAAGTACTCCAAGTCGATCGTCATTGCGACGTGAATACTATCACGCGAGCAGCCAACGCCGTTTCGGTACTCCGGCGCTTCAGTAAAACCAAATAAAACATCAGATCCCGAATTAATATCCATCTCTCCATTCGCCGGAAAATAACGAATCCCTAAACACATCAACGGGAGTGTTGACAATAACAGAGCTACAATGGCGTCGTTTAACGATCGATTGCAAAATCGAAAACGACCCATCTCCAATAGATTGAAGATCCTTACCCCAGACCGCTAATCAATGGTTTTTCATTTGAAAAAAAATCGGGATAAAGCTGTAGAACTAAGAAGATAAAGATGGAATAGAAGGAAGAAGATGACACAAACACACAGAGAGAGGAGTGTAGTAGTATTATGATTGTGTGTTTGTAGAGAGCCTTCCCTCTCCCCCTTCAATCACTTTCTCAGTCTATAAATAATACAGATTTTACAGAGATTGTTGGGTGAGGATATGGCAAAAAAATATATAATTTTTTAAAAAATAAATAATGAAATTTGATGTCGCCTTCTTATTTTTGGACTTTTGCCCTTCTATCGGAATCTGTTTTTTTTTTATTTTTATGGAAAGAAAATCAATATTACTAAATATTTTCTTTCTTTCTTTTTTGAAAATGTAAGGATTGACTTGAAACATTTTATGGTAAATAATATTTAAGAGTAAAATAATATTTTCCAAGATAACCATCACAATTTATTAAAAAATATCTAAATTTAATCCTTCTTTCTAACGATCGTTAAGAATTTCTGTTAGATGAGAAGTATTTTTGTCTTTTTATCGATTAATTTCGTTAGTTACCCAATCAAAAACCATAGAGAGAAAAAATCGATAAAAAAATGAAAATGCCTCTTATATAACGTAATTTTTTGACGACCGTTAGAGAGAATGATCAAATTCGAATATTTTTATAAATCTTGATGATCATCCTATAATTTTGAAACTGCAAGGACAAAAAGTGTTACTTTTAACAAACCATAGGAATTAGATTTGTAGTTTACTCAATATTTAATTATAATCAAACATTAAATACATTTTTTTTTGGGTTAAAAAAGGTACGAGACCTTAAGTCAAATTTAATGTTTTGATTCACTGAAAATAAATTTATATATAGTTTAATAAAAATATTTAATTATTTTGATTTCTTAAATTGCCTTTTCAAATGGATTTACAATGTGTTATTTATTTTTGTATTTGTTAGTGAATTTTATAATCATATACTATTCGTTATTGTTGTTTTCTTTTTATTAATAACAACATAAAATAAAGGTGTTTTTATCTCCATCCTAATATTAAAATACTAAAAAATAATGGTCTTTAAACTTGGTTTCTGTATTTAAAGGTCAAAAAAGCTGGTCTCTATAAATGAAATATTAATATAATATTTAATTTTTATAATTATAGTCATAGATTATTATGAGAATTGGCAAATATTTGAGATGTAAAGATCGAATTTGACTGGTCTAAAGTTGCGGCTTTGACAGGTCAATATTTGCGGTTATGCCAAAAATAGATAAAGTAGTTTCGTAACTTTTACAAATAGACAGTAAACATGTTCATATGTTGAATCTGTGTGATTCACATATGAACTATATGTTCGTTATTTTCATCTTACGCACATTTTGTGTACTTTGATCGGTACTAACGATTGCGCCACAAAATTTACATAAGAAACACACAAAATGGTTTGTGACGTTTATTTTTCTGACTTTGTTCAATGTGTATGTATCTTAGTATCTATTAAAATCAATATATCTGATAGTTATAAGTTTCTAATTTTTAACGTCTATTATATAATTTTTAGGCTTTAAAACATGAAACTAAAATAAAATATTTCAGGTAATCTTTTTGTCTTAGAGAACACAGATCTCATTGTATGCATTTTTAATAAAACCATAATGTACATAGTATAAAATCAAAATTAATGATTATTGATGTATAAAAAATTGGATAATCATCTAAAATTACAATATTAGAGAGACATTTCTTTAAACAATGCTAAAATGACCTAATTTTTGCACTTAGGAAACAATAGTTTTAAGTGCAATGTACATTATTATTTAGTTTTGTGGGTAATACAATTTTGGCATTTTAAAAGTAGTTTGCGAAATATGAAATTTTCTTATTTTCTGTAACATTTTTTTGTAGTAAAATGCAATATGTTTTTGCCTTATTTTGATTTGTATTATGTGTTAGACTTGTTATTTAGAAAAAAGTTTCAATAACACTTTTAAAAATAGCTCAAAAGAAAAAACAAAAACTTTGTGTGATGGGGGGTTATATTGGGTTGTAGCAAATTCGCTCCAAAATATATTCAGGTTTGGCTGATTTCCACTGTATCCCTACGGGCGGTGCGGGTTGGAAGGCAAACCGTTGTTTGGTGTGTCTTTATAAATGATCTGGAGTTCTCTGAATAAGGTAGTTTTTAAAGATCATCCACCCATCTTCATTGATATTTTCTTCGAAACTCAGCTAGCTTCATTCTCCTGGATCTCCAAGAGGGATAAGTTTTTCCCACCTCCTAGTCCGATTGGTGCTCCATCCCTACTGGTTGAGTCCTTGGTTGCTGGTATAATGGCTAGTCCTCTTTGCTTTATCTTCCCTATTTTTGTTCTATCCATTTGGGTAGTTACCGTTAGGGCCCTTCTTTTTTTATTTTTGGCATAGTCTATGTCTTGCAGATTAAGTCTTTTGTTGTTTTGTTGATTTTCCTTTGTTTGCAATAAATTTATGTCTTTTGAAAAAAAAAATCATATATTGACTTAATGTTGTGTTAGACGTGCCTTTTAGAATTAAAAAAACACATGTTTTTATTTTGATAACTCGTAAAGTCAGAAATCCTTTACATTTATTATCATCTTTGACACAATCCGTACAAGTCAAAGAAAATGTCAAAATTAAAATGATACTACCTTTTTAATATGATTATCCACTAAAAATATTAACTCAACATTGAAAACTATGGGGGTGTTTGGGATTGTTTATAAAAGCTGTTTTTTAACTTATTTCAGTTTGACACCAGTGATAAGCTGTTTTCTGATGTTTGGATAAGAAAAAAAAATTGCTTATACCGGTGCCAAACCGGTAATAAGCTGTTTTTGATAAGTTAATCATTCATGACTTATGAAAAACTGTTTATTACCAGTTTACAATTTTAACTCTGTTTTATTTAACTCTGATTTAATACCACATAAGTTAATAAACACTTTTACAACAAAACATAAATTATTTTAAATAAGCAATCTCAAACACCCCTATAAATTAGGAAAAATTAAAGGTTTTAAGAGTTGTAATGTTCGAAGACATTAAGGATGCACAATAATTTTAAATAAATATAAATGGAAAATCATAATGGAGTGCAATTTAGTAGTCAACATATTGACTTGCTTAAAATCATTTTATTTATTAAAACTCTATTATTTTTTTCATTTTAATTTTTTATTTAATTATTCATATCAGTTTTGATTCATCTTATCTATACTATATTAAAAATATTTAACAAAAACTTTTAAAAGCCATTTTTTATGTATGAAATATTGTTTATTGATGCATATTCTTTAAAATTTAAGATTACAAGTAATTTTACCAAAGTACAACTTATTAAAGCTCTATTTTTAAATTCGTGTAACTAACTTCTGATAAACATAACCAAATACAGGATAAACATCCATTTTAAATATAGAAAATCTAAAATATAATTAAGATAATTATTGAGTTTTAACAGAATGTTTAGTTATTATCTTTATAAAAAATTATATTATTAAAATAAAAATAAATTATTTTGTTATTAAATCTAAATTAAATTATAATAAAAAGTTGAATTAAAGAAGTTACACCAAAAAAATGAAAATTATTAATAGTTAATTTGATACTATTATCGATATTTTTTGACAAATTTTTATGTTATCTACAAATTTATATTTTATTTCAAAAATAAAAACATTACCGCTTTCTTAAAACCACATAAAATCATATTATATCAATTGAGACAAATAATAAAAAATAAACATTAAAATCGAGATCATCTCGCTGCATTGCGCGAGTACCATTCTAGTTATTAAATAAAAACAAATTACTTTATTATTAAATCTAAATTAATTTAAAATAATAAATTGAATTAACGAAATTACACAGAAAATGAGAAATTTTAAATAGTTAATTTAATATTAATATCGATACATTTTTTTCAAAATTATATTTCGTTCAAATAAAAATATTATCGTTTTCTAAAACCACGTAAAATCGTATAATATCGCTTTTGGTCCCAAATCTTTGGGGTTGCTTTTTCCAATAAACGTTGGTTACATTTCTTTATGTTTGTTTTGTGCTGTTCTTTTGGTTTGGTTTAGGGTGAGCCTGCTTTAGGCCCCTTTTCCTTTCCTTTGTTGTTTCCCCGTTGTTTGCTCAGATCTTGCCTTCCTGGGTTCTTCCCTTCTGGTTGGCTCTTTCTCTTTCTCTCCTTTTCTTTCGGGGTTCCTTGGCTTTTCTGGTGGTTGTGGTTCGCCCCCACCCGAGCGTATTTGGCTTGCTTTTAGCGTTTTAGTGTTTTATCTTGATTTGGAGGGGTCTCCCCTTCCCTATCAAAAAAAGAAAGAAAGATGGAAGTTATCCTATAGATCATGTATTCATGCCTATTCAAAATGTGAATCATAACATGGTCTCATTTAACATATAATAATAGTAAAATATTTATATCTATCAAAAACGGAAAGTGTTCAATTGGAACATGAAAACGTGACTAAATTGGTCAAATTAAAAGTTGCTCCTGCTACCCAACCGAGAGCCTTAAGCATTGTACAAGGACGTGTTGTAGGAGTTAATGCTTTCATACGGCGGGAATCATTGGTTCAAATCCAATAGTAGGTAGAACTTATTAGATACCATTGACCGCGGTATCTAATAAGTTTTTATTGAGGGCTCTCAGCCACTTGGATAGTTCAATGTGTTCATCGACGCCTGACCCTGAGATGTGGAATAATGGTTGGAGACTCAAATGATGGTTATGCAAGCATGATAACTTATATCCATAGAGAAAATGAATAAAATGAAACATTAAAATCGAGATATATCTCGCTGCATTGAGCGAGTACCCTTCTAGTATATTATACAACATTCGACAAAAACTCTTAAAAACCATTTTTTATGCATGAAATATTGTGTATTAATACATACTAGAAGGGTACTCGCGCAATGCAGCGAGATACATCTCGATTTTAATGTTCTATTTTATT